ACATATGTAGCTACAATCATCATTAGGTAACGTGAAAATCAAAATTCCGGTGATCAATGTCAGGGGAGTGTACTAGAAGGATTAGCATCCATACATTGAATTGCTAAGTGGGCGTAGCAATCAGAAGTTTCTTTAGCAAATTCAGAACGTAATCAACTACATATTGAATAGCTAATGCTTCATTATATTCAATATCGTAATAAGATAGTCTTCTTGTAGATATTTCAGTCACAATAAAACTAAACTATAAATATCTACTATGTAGTATTGTATATGATCGTTTGCGCAACACTTCTAAAGCAACGTAAGTTAAAATGCCGTAAATAATTACAGTTGATCAAAACTGAGTATAAATAAGTTCTATTATCACATCATTTTGAAATAAAATTAAACTAAAAATAGTTCAAATACTGTTCAAGGTATAAAAACCTCTTCGGTAAAATGTTTTATAATTTCTTTTCCCTTTTCTCCATAATGCTTATTTCTTACAATAATAGCTGCATGAGAATTTAAAGAATTGATAGCTACAACAAATTTTTCCCATCCCAACATATTTAAATATGTGAAACATATATTTTGAGCCCCACATATTGAAACTTGTGGAAAAAGCGATGATGTAGAAAAGTCTGCCATCGTAATAGCATGTGTATTATCATCAACTGTTTCATTAGAAAGACTTTGACCTGTCGGTGATGAAGGTAAACTATGAGTAAGAAAATTTTGAATATTAATTACCGTTTCTACTGAATCTCCCTCAATATTAGACACAATAATATTAGATCTTGTGAGATTTGATGTTATATTCCAATTAGAATCTTTTACTTCTCTTGCTGCCAAAATCTTTGCTACTCTTCTTCTTGATTTTATATTTTGAATTGTTAAAGTACTTAACACTATTATTATCCATAAAGGTAATAAAATACCTATTAAAAAGTAAAATAAAGTACTTTTTGCTATGCCAATTGTTTTTGTTATTAAAGAAATTTTGACAGGAATAGCCTCTTGTTTTGATATTGACTTTATGAGGGTTTCAAATTTATTATCTTTCTCACTAAAAGAAAAGTATAAAATTTAT